GGCACGCGCCACCATGCCCAGCTAATGTTTTGTATTTTTAGTAGAGACGGGGTTTCACCATGTTGACCAGGATGGTCTCGATCTCTTGACCTCGTGATCCACCCGCCTCGGCCTCCCACAGTGCTGGGATTACAGGCTTGAGCCACCGCGCCCGGCCAAAAAAAATCTATTAATAAAAATAACATGAGTAAAAGGGGTGGGAAGAAGTCAAAAGGACACACTCAACTTGAAGGTGTTCCCATTGGCCAAAAGCTAGAACAACTTGAGTAACAAAATAAATAACAGTAGTGTTGGACTTTATAGAATAAATTAAAATATCCACAAGTCCATATTGGCAAAAATAAATAATTGAATAAATGGTAGAGAAGGAAAATCTCTTTCTAACAAAAGAATACAATTAAATAAAATATCACTACTAGAACATCACAGCAATAATTGTTACAAGAAATATCCATCAGTAGATGTTAAAATTAATAGGTGAAAATTTCAGGAGAAATGGAATATTTGCACAAAATATCTCCCCCAATGTATTTATTAACTACATAGGGGAAAATGGTGGCTTTATAGTAGAGATAGTTTCTTAATCAAGTGATCAGGGCACCTAACATCACCAGTAATAAGATGTACTGACACTATGTACTCTCTGTGAGTGTGTGGAAAAAAACGTGTAGATACGTTCTACAAAACAACTCTTAAAAAATGTTAAGGTCTTAAAAAAGACAAAGATAGACTGAGAACAGGTTGGAGGAGACTAACCAGACATGACAGGTAAATGGAAATTCTGGATTTGATCTTGGCAAAAAAAAAAAAAAAAGCATTAGGAGAAAAACTGATGAAATTTGATTAAATACTGAAGCTTAGTTAATATTGCATTAATATTGAAATCTTTAATTTCTATATGCTATGGCTATGTACATATGGAAGGCTGAGTGAAGAGTATATGAGAGCTCTCTGTACTGTTTTGCAAATCTTCTGTAAGTCTGAAATTATTTCAAAATATAGTTAATCTGTTCATCATTTTACTGGGCTAACATCAAGGTATGGGCAATACTACATTCCTTCTGGAGGATTTGAGGGGAGGATCTGTTTCCTCCTCCCATGGCATGAATATACTACGGTTTGTCTAACCATTCACCTGTTGAAGGACATCTGGGCTGATTCCAGCATGACTATGAATATTTGTGTACAGGTCTTATGTGATGTAAGGTTTTCATTTCTCTGAGATAAATGCCCACGAGTGTAATTAGCTAATATAGTAACTACATGTTTAGTTTTACAAGAAACTGTCAAACCATTTTGAAAAGTATCATTTTGTGTTACCACCAACAATGTATAAGTGATCCACTTGCTCTACGTCCTTGCTAGCATTTGGTTTTGTAACTTTAAAAACTTTTTTTTTTTTTTTTAAATAGAGATGAGGTGTCACCATGTTGGCCAGGCTGGTCTCGACCTCCTGACCTCAGGTGATCCAGCCGTCTCAGCCTCCCAAAGTGCTGGGATT